GGCTCCAATGTTTCTCCCCACAGAAAAGATATTCTAAAAGAAAAACCTTTCCTGCATCCACAATCACAAAATCATACAAGCCTGGGGATAGCCTTTAATCACAGTCTAGAGCAACAGTCAGTAGCTAGTACCCAAAAGATGACAGGCAATGTGGACTGAAGAAAAGAGTGCTTGACTAGAAGTCAGAAAAACTTGAGTTTTATTCCCAGCTCTGTGATTTACTATATGGTTTTGGGCAAGTTACTTAACCTCTCTGGGGTTCTGTCTTATGTTTGTCATGTTTTATTTTGTTTCATATGGAAAACAAGAGGTAATCAAAAAACTTTTTAAATTCTGGCTAGAAGGCCATCAGTAAACATATAGACCTACCCCCAACTTCACAGATGAGGACAGTGAAACGGAGAAACATGCCCAGTCATCTAAAAGGACAAATAACTTGTCAAATTTTTAGACCATATTAAAAAATGTAAGTACAAGGCAAAAAAGATCATAATCATCGAATTTAGGATGATGATTACCTCTTCAGGAAGAGCTTCAATTGTACTGATAATATTTTATTTCTCAAATTGAGTCTGGAGCACATGGAGATACAAACACACACACACACACACAATTTTTTTGTCCGAAATACTTCCTAATCATTTTTTTTTTTAAGTAACCGCCAAAACATCTTTAACCAAAACATTCCTCTGGAATTTTAAAGGTCAATGGAAATAGTGTGTGGTTTCATTCTCTAGCTGAGCTTGAAAGGTAAATATCACTACTATGTCCCCTAACATAAGACAAAAGAGAGTGAAATAGGAGATATGTGTGCGTGTGTGTGTGTGTGTAAAACATCTCCAATCTGCCAGCTTAGTTAAATATAAGAAATGACACAAAATGACACAAAACACAAAATGAACTGTATTATTAGTACCATGATTAACCTATTTAAGAATACTGAGAGATATCTAATATTTTGTACTCTAAACAATATAGTCAGATCATATCTGAGAGCCTAGTATTCAATCATCAGGGGGTTTTGTTTGTTTGTTTTTTTGTTTGTTTTTACTGAGACAAAAGGAACTGCGGTGATTTACCTAAAGTAAGCAAAGGTCTTTCTAAAGGTCTACATGGAAACTACCTGTAAAAACTAAGTGCCTCTGAAATCTCTGAAATTTTCCAACAGGAAAGTATAGGTCATTCAGCAAATATTTACTGTATACTTCTATAATAGCTATTTAATTGTTATCATTATGATGCAGATATATAATGGAAACAGATGTTTCTTTTTCCTTTCAGCAAAGCACAGGAAAAGCATAAACTTGCTGATATTGCATGGACTACTACTATAGCACAATAGAGGAAAAAAGACATTAGCACATGACAATATTAGTTTTTACTACACAACTAATTGCATAAAAAGTGTAACTTGAGATCGTTAAATCAATATAATTTTCAGCACTACAGAAGGGAAACAAATAGATGTGTATAACCAGCCTATTTCACATCTGCAGTTGGGAAAATACTTCTGAGAGACTAAGTATATGCAAAATGCTACCACTGCTTTCAGAACACAAGGAAAAGACTGTTGTTCTGTTTTATTTGCTCATGTAACATGAATTAGAATGCTGCCTCTCCAGAGAAATTTTTTTTTAAACAGTACCAGTATAAACTGGAAGAACGTTTCTGGAAAACAATTTGACAATCAATATCAAATACCTTAAAAAACAGTCTGTACCCTCAGTCCAAGAAATTTCTATTCTAATAATACAGCATAAGAAAATAACCAGGGGAATGATTAAGATTTATTTAAAATGCTATTCATCATAACTTTATTTATAATAATGGAAAATAGCAGAATAGCAGAATAATGATTAAATTACATATGTTAGTCTATGACCATGCTGCAGTGAATACACCCGATCTCATCTGAACTAAGAAGCTAAGCAGGGTTGGGCCTGGTTAGTATTTGGATGGGAGACCACCTAGGAAGACCAGGTGCTGTAGGCATAAAAAAATAATAAAAAAAATATAAAAAATAAATAAATAAAATAAAAATAAAACAAAATAAAAATATATATGTTAAACCATTATAGTCAATATAAATGACTTTAATAATAATTTTAATTATATAGTAAAATTTTCATTGTATAATGCCAATTGAAAAAAGCACACTAATCTTATATATTATATATTTATAAATATATGATATATAGATAACATAAATGCTTGAAGAAAGGCTTAGAGAAAATACACAAAATGTCATTTTTAACTTTTGAAAATTCTCTGTTATGAGCAGATACTACTTTTTTAATCAGAAAAAGTTATCTTTTCTTTAAACAGTTAAACAATTCCATTTCTATGCTCTAATACTCTCTGTCCTTGTCCAAAGTTTCTAAAAATTCTTTGGGTCAAATAATCCTATAAATATTTTAGGTAAATTGACTTAAAGTTACATTGACATGTTATTTGATCCTAAAATCTGGCATAGAAAGAAAAGTATTTGTCAATTACATAAACACATTATTTTTCCTGGGTTAAACAACATCCTTACAAATTAGAGAAAATGTTTATGGGACAAACATTATAAATGCTTAGTTAAAAGCTATTAATACGATGTGTTTTAAGTCACCATGTCAAGGAAATTTTTCAATTAAAAATATTTCTAAAGCAAATAAAGTAGACTATTAATTGCTCTCCCAGTATGCCAATAAAAAATTTGACATAGCTTTTGTAGGACTCCTACTTTCATGATTGTATTTTTACAAGAAGGAGCTGATTTGTCTTACGCTATTACTGTCTATTACTTCTAGAAGTCTTAAGGAAAGGTGGGAAGCAGCAAATTCTGGCAATCTGCCTAAAGAGAAATCAATGAAACAAATTAATCCTTTGCAGGCTACAATGACACAGTAATCCATCATTCAGAGCTGCTTTTATATACCAAATCAGAGAGCAGAAGAAAGAGCCCTGGGGGACATCACAGACAACAACTTACACCAACACTGGGAAAATACTGAGGAATCAGTTTATTTAAAGAGAATAGATTTGTTGATTGCCTATTTCGTCAAATGAAGATTTTTTTCTTTCATAGTGCAGTAAACCCAAGGCCCAACAACTATATCTTCAGAATTCAGTACCATATATGCTGGCTGACATCAATAGGGGATGAATGTTTTTAAATAGTTAGCATCATTTTCAGTATGAACAAATATCTGGCTAGAAAAATATTACTTTTTCCATTAAACTTCCAAGTATTAAATACATTCCCTGTTTTCAGTAGGGACTAACTGTAAATTTATCTACTAATGTAGAACTGACCAATTCCTGGTAAACCATATTCAAGATATTTTTTCACACATAAAATGTAACTGTTTAAGATATGTGTAACTTCCTAAGTATTGTGTTAAGTTTAAAGACTTGAAAATTTTTAATTTCATCTCTCGTGGAATAAATTTCAACAAGCAAATCAAATTATAAATAAACAACTTGTTTTAAAATGATAAATAGTTGTTTGACTTATAATATAGTTGACAGTGCTAAAAGACAAATTTAAATGTGATTTCTTTTTCAAAAATAAACTTATAAGCAATATATTCACACCGAGTATATTTATACATATACAAAAACATATGCATCTAAATTTATTCATGCTTATGTAGAAATTCACGTGCCTGAATATGTCTTACTACAGTAATGTATTCTGAGTGGAAGTATATTCCTTAGATGAAAACTAATGACGAGAACAATAAAGTCACAGTGTATTACTTCTGTTAAATGCACGCATCATTTTCATAGTTAAATATGAAAAATTAGTGAAAGAAATAAACGAAATCTGTCACAATGGTCCTTGAAATCTTAAAACTTCAAATATCTAATCACAGATCCAGAACAGAAAAAGAAGGTTAAATAAATGCTAACTAGTCAATTTTTGAGTGGCATTGTCGATTCCAAAGTCCATGGCCATATGATTACAATTCGTGGCTATGCTGATGCATTTTTAATTCAATGCATGGATCTAGTATTTATTGATTTAATAAGGTTAGGGATATTACATTGTTGCTACTACTGATGAAATGTCAGCAGTTTAATCTAGTGAAATCTTACTGAGAAATATATATTTTAGGGAAGAGAGAGAGGGAGACAATAGCTATATAAATGTAATCTCTTCACTACCCATGACAGTGGCAAAAGCAAGGCCCGTTTTTTCCCAGACTGCTTTGGGCTCCAAACATTTCCTTTTACTAAAGATGTTGGCCAGCAACTGATTGAGGTGACAATAAAGAGACTGCAGCAAAGTCCTGTAGGTACATCTTCAAAACACCGCCCATGGCATCATTAGTATGCAGACAGACAGAAAAGGGAGAAAATTCACTTACTCAAAAGCACTTCTGCCAAAATACAACCGAAGGAGAGAGGCTTTAAAGGCTATATCAAAATAAGGAAGTATTATAGGATCCAGGATCAGGAAAAGGGAGGAAAAAATCCACCTGAATTTGCTGAAACAAACACTTGGGTACTGTAAGAAAGCTTGCTGCTGGGCTACTCTGCTTGTAGGATTACTTCCCCAACCTGGACACCTGGGAAGCATGTTGTGTTCCAGCTTTTCACTGACTTTGAAGAAATGGATAATCTAAGAAGCAGTGCTGCTGCTGGGGTCAGTAAAACTATGCTAATTGGTGAACCTAATTGCTTCAAGCAGTCCTGCCTCTAAACAGGGAGAGCACAGTTGATGGAGTCAGTCTGTTCCTAATAAAATGAAGAAGCACTGAATTAAATTCCCAAGGAAGGCACTATAAAAGTTTCCACAGTGTAACCAAATGACTTCACCTATGCTATTACCCCTAAGATGACATCTTTGAAAGAAAGCAGACCCGAGTCAGGCTCCATATTCATAAATTGGCTGAGCTTAGGCCAGTGAATCTGGATTGATTTAAAAAGGCTTTTTCATCCTTCCAATCAAATGAAGTCATTGTTAATTAGATGCTTTCTGTTAACAATGTCACTCTTCTCCACATTACCTGCTCACACTTGCAGCGCCTCTAGTGCAACATCTGGAACACCAGTTCTACTGCAATCAGTCCTCACAAGTTTGGCTGGAAGGCGGTGCTATTTCCGTTTCCCAGTCCCTGTCTGAAGGAAGATAGGATTCAGTCTACTGGTGGCAAGATACATACCAACTCTCTAATTTGAGATATTATAAAACAATCTCTAGGAAAACTCTTCAGATATGGTCTCCCAAAATATTTTTTATTAACTACACAGCAGTTTCTGTGTTGTTCCCGCTCTGTAGATGGATGTTTTCAAAAATGCGTAAAGCCACAGAGTCAGCTCACTTACTTTCCAGCTTCTTAAGACTAACCTCCTCCTTAGGAGGTTTGAGGTTTCCCAGCCTTGCCTCAAGCCTTGCTCCAGACCCCACTTGGCCCAACAGACCTGAAGGGGACGAGCTAGCTGCCCAAGGCAGGGCAAACTGGTAGGCAGCCCCGGAGAGAGCAAGGCTCAGGGCGTTCTAGCCAGAGAGGGGAGAGAGGCGTACTGAGGAAGACGCACAAAAGATTCTCTTTCGACGGTGGGTCTCTGAGCTTTACAATGTCGGGCGGAGGCCGGCTCACACTCCCTCCCCGCCAATTCCAAAGAAGTTTACACCTCCTACACAAACTGCCAGCGCCGACCGAGGGCGAGGCCCCGGGGTTCGGGGAACGTGCGCCACCCCCCGGTCGGGCCTGGCTTCTTTCTTGAATCTTTCCGGGAGCAGGCCCGGGACTTTGTCACTCTGGTTCCTCGCAGGGTGTGGGCCTTCAGCGCCAGCGAGAGCACGGCTCCTGCAGGCCGACGAGGTCCCGGCGCGACGATCCCGCAGCCCGACCCCTCACTGCGCGGGCGCCACACTTGAGCCGAGAGCCCGCGAGCCAACCCCGGCAGCGAGGCTTCGTGCCCGGATGTGGGCCTCGCTTCCGGGAGCTGCTCCCGCGGGCGTCGCGCGCAGGCCGCAGTTTTCAGGCCTCGAGGGAAGGAGTGGGAAGGGCCCCGGGGCCCCTACAAGGGCCCCTACAAGAGCCCCTGACTCACGGCGTGCAGAATTCTGTCGCAAGAGCGCGTCCTTGTGGGGTGAGGAATGTCCGGAGGAATGTCACGAGAGTAAGGAGAAAAGGTGCCTCTTGGCGGCCCCCGGGGCCCGCAGCATGGAGGACCACGCTCATCCAAGGGCTTAGGCTAACAAGTGTCTGTCAAAGGCATCTCAGGACCCCGGGACCGGAAGGTGGCAGGCCTTCAGCAAAGCCTCGGGAACCTGCTGCCAGGTCATGGACTTCATCCCGGGCTGGGAACTCCTGAACGGGAGTCGCGCACCAGAGCATGGACCTGGACCCGGGTCCCTGTCAGTGACTGAGGCGCCCCAGGACGCGACCACGGCCTTGGAGTCCTCCCTGGCTGGGGCTGCGAAGGAGTCAGAGGGCTCCACGGCTAAGCGACAGTGAGTCCTGATTCCTAGACTTCACAGAGGGCAGAACCACACTAGATGAGGTTAGACGGTGAGGGTGGAAGGACAAAACCACATCGAGACGGACTGACTCTGCCAGTTGGGCCTCTTAATTGCATTTCTTCAAGTCCTTGACCCCAGAGCTTCGTCCTGTGATAACGTACGCTTTCTCCGCAAAAGGGTTTGGGGAAATTAAGTTTCTTGGGACTCTTTCATCCCTGTTAGGTGGACTCAGGGACGAGGGCAGAGAATAACAGCAGCCGAAACACCTGTATCTCTCAATACAATAAAATATGGACAGTGATTGGAATTATTTCTCCTTTCGTTTCCAGAAGGAGCTCAAACCTGAAGCATTAAGTCTATCCTCTAAAGTGTAAAACAGAACACTCGCAAAAACGGTCAGGGACACCACTGCCCGTGCCTGCAGGAGGTTCCCCTTTACAAACAGAAACGGCGATCTGAATTTTTTTTTTTTTTCATTTTAGTGCTTGTGTGACCGTAAGTTGGGGGCTTGCGTGTTGTAATACAGTCCTTTGACCCTCTGGAGACCAAACTAGAACTGAGCAAAGAGAAATGAGGCAAGAGAAAGGGAAGGTGCTGATAACTAGTGGACGGAAGTCTGGGTGGGTGGTGCGCAGGGCTGCTCTGAGCAGAGGTGGGACCCCGCTCCAGCACGGGTAAATCCCAGGACGCCCTGCCCCAGAGCTCTGGGGTGACCGGCAAAATTACGATCACCTGCTCAGGGCTCCTGGTCTCTAGCTCAGTTTCGGAAACACACACACACACACACACACACACACACACACACACACACACACAATGGTGCGTGCCCCTCCTGGCGCTGGAGTTCCTCTGAGGTTGTCCTGTCAGTGGAACCCCGCGAGTTGCCGCCGAGCTCGGCCACTTGACCATTTCGCTCACCCTCTGGCCCAGGAGGGAGGGAAGACCGAGGCGCCTGTTGTGTGGAGACCCAGGTCGGCGCAAGAGAAGGGCTGATAGAGTGACAGAGCCCTGGGAAGGGCGGCGTTCTCCCTGGCTCGGGGCTCCTCCCCACCATTCAGTCCGGGTCACCTGTTGTCCCGAGCTCGCTCAGGTCCTCTTACCGCCCCGCTCTCCGCTACCACGCGACAACCCCCTGCTAGCCGGAGCTGCACGCCCCGGTGACTCTAGGGTTCCCCGGCCCCGCAGAAGCGCAGCTTTCCCTGCCTCCAGATCCTCCTCCTATCCTCCCACCGAGCAATGACTCGCAGTGTTTGGGGTGGTTGGTGTTCTTTTTAAAAGTATATCAAAGGATCATTGCCGTCTCCCCGTCAAGTCATTACGCCTTTATCCCCATCAATTAACCACACCTCAGAGGGCTGCTATTAAGAGCTAAATTGAGCTGCAAAAGTAGATATCCCGTTTCAGGCAGATGTTGTCATCTCCCGCTGAGAGAAGCGGCGGGCGGGACCCGACCCGCAGCTTCCGCAACTGCCGCAGCCGCGAAGGACCAGGCTGAGGACTCGGGGCCGCGGAGCTGGAAGGGAGGTTCCCGCTGGATACCGCTGGTGCTCCAGGAACCCAGAAGAGTGAGGAGAGCCCCAGCTCTCGGATCTCAAGAACTGTGTACGTCAAGGGGAAGTATTTCCAGAGTTGTGCCAGGGAAAACGCCTAGAACGAGTCGTGCGTTTTTGCGCAGAGTGGAGAGTGTTCGCAAAGCCCCAGCTCCCCGCCAGTGACCCAGAAGTGTGGCAGGGGTGGGGGGGGTGGCCGAGAGGGGAGTGAGGGGGAGAAGAGGGCACAGTCGTGATTTTTTTCTGGCAGCCCTCCACCGACACACCCCTCTTCCTCTTCCCGCCCCTCCAGCCTTCTCCTTCCCTGGTACCTGGCCCCCAGAACCCGAGAACCTCTTGTGGAGGAAGGCTCTGTACTGTGGGGTGCTGGATATAGAGCTAGGGAACCGGGGACAGAAACGTGGCGTTTAAGACAAAGGGGATCCACTAGAGACCGCCGCGGCCTTTCGCCCAGATGTGTCTTTCCGTTCTCTCTCACCCCCATCACTCCCGAAGACTTGGGGCACGGCTGTTGCACTCAGCTAGGAGACCTTGGAGAACTGTGAGAGGGGAGGGAGCAAGGGGACGTGGCCCTCGCTGCAGTTACAGGGCTTTTCTCCCGACAGTGGCCACAAATTTAGCCAAGGCTAAAGGAGATTAATTTCCCAGCATAATCCAATTAAAAGATTTCTGAAGTAATCTTTTGCGAAAATGAAAAAAAAAAAAAGTGCGCGGCTAAAGAGGGGGCTGGTTTTGATGACAGTGATTTATCGCCTGGGCACAGCATGCGCCAGCCGCTGGCTTTCCTGCACAGGCGATTTGACCAGAGCATCCCGTCAGTGCCTCCAGTCCAAACCTTAGCCTTTCTGAAAGACAGCCATCCATCACGCCAACCTGGGCAGTAAAGAATGTGCAAGGGACTGGGGTTGCTTACAAGCACCACAGACTTTTTTAAGTGCTATTAGATTTATGGTCTCTTTTTCGACGCCCATCCAGAGTAATTAGCACATATGTTCTAAATAGATGATAGTTTTGTGAGCAATAAAGCAATTACCCATCGTTGGAGCTGACAGTTCCTCCAACTAAACTCCAACCAGCAGCTAATTGGAAAAGTCATTTCAGCTCCATTGTCTGCAATTAGTCCTGCTAAACTACTACACCCCAACTAGCTGGTTTGAGGTTAATTTATTCAGTCTTGTATTTGCACTGACGAGCCATTTCCACAAAGGGACTTGCCTTTTGCCCCTCCAGATTATGCCCTGGGATTAGAGGAGCAGGTGGGATATTCGAGGGCCAGGATGGTTCCCAAGAGGAAGGAGTGCCTCAGCTTCAAGGTCAATGTCCAGCTCCTAAATACTGCTGACAGAGAAAGCCATTGTTTTTCCTTCTGGGCAGTAACTAAAGAAAACTATTCCACTCAGTGTACCAAAACCTTAGGGTTTTTTTGTTTTTTTGTTTTTTTGTTTGTTTGTTTTTTTTAAGTCAGCATAGAAGAGGTGACTGGGTTCTGAGTACACCTTTCTTCCTGCATACTCAGTCCTGACCTCGAGGCATCAAACTGTCCCTAAGGGAAAAACATAGATTCAAACCCGCCCAAACAGAAAAATTCTGAGCCTTCAGCTGGGAAAGGTAGCCTCCAATTCTTGCTTGGAGTGATTCGGGGAAGGTCAGTAGCCCTGTTTCTGCCTTCAGCCTCTCTCTAAGAACAAGGTCACTTACCCCCTTAAAACAAGTTTCTCTGTGCTTTTTTTCTTTGCTTTTTTTTTCTTTTTTCCTTCCTTCTTTCCTTAACTTTTTTTTTTTCTTCTTTCTAAAGTTAAGTCGAACAGGTCCAAAATTTGCGCATATTGAGTGGGAAAAAAAATGTGTTAAACATTGGTTTGATGCCCCATCAGAGCTTCCAAATATCCATCGGCTGGGATTCTTCTACTTAATTTAATCTTTATTGGACAGGGCAGCTCCTACGCTCCTATTCACCAGGAAACCCCTGGAAACGATCCGTTGGGGTTCAGAATGGAGGGCGGGAAGGAGAGGAGTTAAAGAGGGATTAATCCTCTCCCACCCAACCTCGAACTTTGGAACTGTGGACTCTGGCAGGCCAGGAGTATGAGGGGAGGGGG